TATTTCACCAGCTAATATATATACTCAAAAATAAAAACTATTTTTCTTGATAATAACATTGGCACTTATCTACAAAAACTAGCGTGCAAATAGAACGAATCAAACACCTTGAAAACATCTCATATTGTAGAGAAATGTTTGTTTTATATTCTGAATAAATAAGTAACATATATATTATATCCAAAGATTTCAGAAAACTTAGTGTTTAGTAAATAATATACACATTTGTAGCCAACGATATTTTTCATATGTGAAAGTGATAGAAATTCGATATTCTTACGGTTTGTATGAGATGTAGGATTGCATTTCTTTGAGTGAATAATGAGCAATTAGGACAATTATTACTATAAATTTTGCAGTGTGAAGATATGCGCTAAGTCTAGCCACTGCTCCTAGCTAAACTGACGGATTGATGATGGCTGCGGCTGTACCTACCGAAATTTTTTGATTTATTATTGTTATTTTATGATTGATGTTTAAACAACCTGTCTTTGGAAATAATCCTCAGAAAATCCTACATACCGGCTAATTTCTGAAAATAGGCATCCATTCAAAAAGCTTCTAGAAAAGCTTCACTCGCTACTGGCTAGAGTGTCGCTACTTTCAAATAACCCCATTGCCAAAACTATAAAGATGGGTTCAATTTTTTCAGGCTTTTTAAAGAATCATCAATCCTATTCATTAGTAAAATATTAGAGAAAACGAAGATAATCTAGGAATGTGTCGGGATAAACTAAGTTTTTAATGCAGTAAAAATTAGTTTGATGAATGATAAGTTTTGTGTGAAAGGAAAACTTGTGTATGTATATCATTCAAACATCTTCAAGAACTGAGCTTAATGTATCTCACTCATTTTTGTTTGTATAGATCGGATGGAAAATATGCGCGTTAGTAGATTGAAGACTTTATTGTGTTATGATATCTCGGGCATTCTAAATATGCCGATTTTAATTTTAACTGGTGATGATCCACTTGTCTTTTTATCACGTAAGAGAGAAGACTGAGGAATATGGTCATTGGACAATTCATCTACGGAAGACAAGTGCGCAAGTTTCATATCAAACTAAGATAAAAATAAAACATGTTGAATCTGCTTTTCTGTGGTTCAATTTATATGTGTAGACCATAAATCACTTTTTTGTAAGGCAACTAAGATATAAATAGTTGATTATAATCAAAAACTGTAAATCTATAACATTTGGCTTGCGATCAATTGTGAAAAAAATAGAGTTTGCCGAAGATTACGTTTGATCATATGTTAACCCACATCATCTAATTAGCATTTTTTTATAGTAGCAAGTGAGTTTAGAAATTTCAAAATACTATATTTGTTCTAAACTATTTATACAAGGCGTTTACCATCGGTTGTTACTTTTAATGACTTGTCCACAAAACACAATAAGATTGGTACAGTATAACATACATAGTCTTGATCATACTTGAATGTTTAAACTGTATGTATTATTTTTCGTATTTTAAACATTGACTATAAACATATCAAAAAACGGAAATTGAAACGTTCGTGCCGCTTATAATAAGACCAATCATCTACAATATTTTCATTTTTTTCTGGGTGTATATAGTAATAGTATGGGAGGAGTTTATATTGAACACAAATGTGAGATCTTTTCGTATGTATATATATATATATATATATATGCTTGTATAAATCGCGATTTTTAACAAGAAACTAACAAAGTGAGAATATATATCCTGCAATATTTGTATATACGATCAAAATTGAAAAAAAATTCTTTCTTTTAATGAATATGTCAAAAGAAAATTCAATAATGAACACATTTGTAGAACGTGTGATGAGAGCCATATCAACACATGTCAATAAAACGTGTCTGAGGGTGATTAGTGAATAATACTGATTTCGATCAATTAAATTAGAAAAAAAATTTAAGTTGAAAATAACCGTATTTCATCATCCCGTATTATTTAGATTATAAGACACCATGGTCACAAACTCTTGTAAAGTAATGTGTTTTTTAAACTGTATTTGTATACATAAATTTATTATAACACTGATCTGAATGGAGTTTCAAAAATAGCTTTGCTATATGTCATTTGACGCCTAAACGGCCTCCTTGAATAGGTTTTCTGATGCTGTTTAGACTTTCTTACAAAAGCAAAAAAAATTGGCAATAGATACATTTATACATTTATAGACGCGTGTCTCTGGTGTTGTGTGCCTCTCTCTCTCTCTCTCTCACTTTCTTTTAATCAATGTTTTTCACTGATCTAATTGTCTTTTTATTTTTTCAAGAAGTCGACCACTACAGAAGAAAAGTTAAACTCGCGAACACATTTGTGATCAATGTAATATCTAATCAAATGCAGAAAAATTACTTGAACCGTTAAAGTGGAATCCATTTTCTTTTTCTATCGCACGCGGTATCTACCTATCATCAGTTTTGATGATTTGTTTGGATAAACTCATCTATATATTATTTTTATTTAGTACATTTAGATGTTTTTATTCTCTCTGTAAATGTAAATGTTCATCAGCACATTTGTTTTGTTTTTCTATCTACAGAAAATATTCTTTTTCTCTTAATAGTATATTGGATAAATTGAACATCTGCATGTTTGCGGCCACAGGAAAGAGAGTTATACTCTTCTGTTTTCTTAATAGCAGAGAGAGCTTTTAGCAATACACGAAAAAATCAATTAATAATTGAAATAAGAAAGAACAATGATTTCTCTTTTTTTTTCATCTTCGGAAAACCAAAAATGTATATCTATGGAACAGAAACTACTTTTCCTTTTATCATGTATTATAAAATACAACGACAAGCTTAACTTTCATGTAAACATTTAGCTTCTGAGTCTAGTTTTACAGAACAACATTAGGCGTATACTTTAGGGTACTTTTCAGAGTTAAACATCTTTATTAATTAGTCATATTCAGCATATATATACAGAAAGATAAAAGTAATCAATTTTTTTTCTTTCTATTTTGTTTTCTATATAAAGGAACAATTCATTTTTTTAAATCTATCGTTTGGGATAATATTTCTCATATAAATGAACAATTCATTTGTTTTTTATATTGTCTATAACAGCATACATTTATCGGAATACCAATTGTTTTTCTACATAATGTCTCTCTCACTCTCTTCTCTTTCTATATATATGCTGATTTGAAACATACGTACAACTTTTGTATTATTCGTTTGTTCTCTTTAAACTCTATCGTTTTGCAATACATACATATATCTCGCAGTTCTATGTCTTTTCGTCATTTTCCTTCAAGGATATAGAAATTTGATTATTAGCCTACATAGTTATTCATTTTAGTTTTCTGATGATTCAATATTGATTAAAAGATTGAATGTTCATAGAAAAATGTACAGAAAATAATTTCTTTTTCACATGACTAATAATATTTTGTTTTTTCAAAAGTCTACTAAAAAATGAATATTCTTAATTTAACGGAGTCAAAGTTCGCATTTTTCTAACTTTTACTAATTTGATAAATTTAAAGTTAAGGGTTTATCTTCTGTTTTCACACATAATGTGTCATTTCTGTTTTCTTCTTATTTTTTGGTTTATTTGTTCTGAAGTACGATGTTTTTCCAAAATAGTTCTGTTTTAATTATAAGATCGGATTAATTTTTTCCTTTTTCTTTTTCGCTTGATAAAATATCTTCTCTTTTTTTTTTTTTTGTAAACAAAATCTTGTTCGAGTTATAAATGGAAATCGTTCTCTCTCTCTCTATATATATAAGCTCGATATGAATACGTATGTGTGTTTACTTATTTATCAACGTCGGATACAATTCAGATGGGAACAGACACAATCGTTTTTTTAGTGTACAATTTCGATATTCCATCTGTTGGATTCTACATCTATTTTTTTTTTGTTCTGTTTCGCAGCAACATTTCTAGTTTTTATCTGTTTGGATAAACAGGCAAAATATAGGAAAAAAGAAGGAGAAAAAAAGGTCAAACTAGTATATAGAATATACGGTAGATATTTCAAAAGTATTAAAAATGATAATATTATACCAGTAATTCTTCTTTCTTTCTCCAACTGACAAGAAAAGTAAATCAATATGCGCACTTTTTTTTTTGTACAGTTCATTTCCTAAGATTTAATTAATACTGCACTATTGAATATATAAAAGAAAATTCAGTATGTTGTATTTTACAATGTTGGAATCATCAAACCATGTGAAAAAATAAAAACATTTTTTTTTTTTGTTAACAAGCGAGTGTCAAATCACTTTCACCTTTTTATTCATCAGAAGCAACATTCAGAAAGAAAATACTGGCTAAGTTTTCTTAAAATATTTTATTTCCGGTAAACATTTTTGAATTAACTAGAATTTTCAATTGTTTCATAAAAAAATACAAAGAAGGTAAAGAAGGAAATTTAAACATATATAATAATCTTTGCTCTTTTTATTATTCGGTTAATATGGCAAAAAAGAGTTTGAAATGATATTTTTCTCTATTTATGAATATAATTGTTTCTGAATGAACGGAAATCAAATGATTGTTCGTTTACATTTTCTTCTCTCTTTTATATTTCAATTAGAAACAGAATAATATGTGTGTATTTTTCCGCTTTTCTATTTGAGATCTGATTGTTTATAGAATGTGTGTGTATAATGTATAAGCGTGCTGCCACGTATCGATAAATGATGATGAGCAATAATGATGATAACAATAAAACGGCTGCCGTTCGAATTTTCTGATTGTGAAAAAATGAGAGAGAATATTGTACATATGTGCGATATCGTCCGAGAGAAAAAAAAACGGAGCATAAAAAAAAAATTATTTTAGGATAAAAAATATACACGTACAAACACACACACAATAGTAATAGTATTTGCTGATCCACTTTTTTTTTTTTTTTGGTTGTTTAGACTTTTGGGCCCAAATTTTTTTCTTCTCTTTTCTACTTCTTGTTCTCTCTTCTCAGACCAATACTACTACACGTTTATATATATATATATTCTCATTAAATGATTATTCAAGTATTGAAAATGGCAAATGAGCTTGAATTGATTAGACGCCAAGAGGGAGAACAACATCAACATACAACAACAACAATAAACGGTGATTTTCCATTAATTAAACATAGTAAACGTATGATGAAAATTAGTAGAAGAAAACAAATTAAACCAAATAGGTGAGATCACAAATCTAGAAGAATTTCTTATTACTAAGATCTTGATAATACATTTCTTTAAGAGAAAATGTTTGAGAAGAACTTTTTTTTACACTTTCTCTTTTTATGTAGAACAGGCACATGATAATAGTAGACTTTTCTTCGGACAATCATGTTCGAGAATAGAAAAGAATTCGAAAGTTAACTATAGAAATATTGGAGAAAAAAATAAAACGATGATTCAAGTAACACAAAAATTCTTGATATAATAAAAAAATTTCATGATATTCTAGTTTTCAATTTAAAACTTCTTTAATTTTTATCAAAATCTTACTAAAATTTATATCAAGATCTTGAGTAGAAAAAAAAGTTTTGGTTCGCAAAATGTGTTTCACAATATTTCTTTCCATTATGTTATTATTCTAATTCTCGTTTTTCAGACTAATGAACGATGAAACTATTTCAAATACGGAAAACTCTGAATTAGTTATCAATCAACATCAGACGCATGATCAATCGTCGAATGAATCCAGTGATGATGATGTCAATGCTGTTGAAGAAAAATTAAATGAAGGTATAATATTCTCTTACACGTAGAAGTTATAAAAACTTATATCTAACATGTACGCGTTTTCTATTTGACTAAAGTACTCAATCTGAAGCAAACATTCCTTAGCTCTCTCAAAAAAGTGTAAAAATTAAAAGTAAAATGTTGGTTGTTACCACTACAATTTCCATTAGAAAATTTTCCTCTTACAGTATAAAAATTCCTTTTCACATTGTACTAGACAGAATAAAGTTGCGTACACTTATACAAGAATATGAGTGCTAATAAATAAGTTATATCAGTCATGTTTTCGCATGAAATTCTGTGATTCCGACGCACTATACACACGTTAAACATACTAGTGAAGTTTCCGCTCCATTCAGCATGTTATCCTGTTATGAAACGCGTGGATCTGCCAGGAAAAGTCTAACTAACGAATAAATACGCATTCTTAACAGCATTGCATAATTGTGCGTAACTAAAACGTCTTTTAACTCACGAAACTGTTCGTCTTTGCAGAAACACGCCAACAAGTAGTAAATTGGTGTAAAAAGCTCTTAAATTGAGTTTCATTCTCTTTAAGATGATTTTTCTAAGTTTCGACATTGATAAAATATAAAAAAGTTATTTTTCTTTATAACTGATTTGCCGCTATAGTAAAACTGTTGAGAGGCTCAAGCAAGAATTGACAAAAAATATTTTTGTATTTTTGAGAAAAAAAAATGATCTGTTGTTCTATTTCAGAAGATATCAAAAATGAGCCAATGACTGCCTCATCATCAACAATAAATTTTGTTGCAGTATCATCACCGGATCATCACAATAATATTTCAACGCCATTAACAAATAATATGCAAGCAACCACTATTTCTTCTCTCTCCTTTTCTTCCTCTCATTCTCCTCATCATTATTGTTCATCATCATCTTCACCGTCATCAACGTGTTCGTCTTCACCAATAATAAATGCAATCAAGCCTATATCCTATTCATTATTGAACAGTAATCAAAACAATTTAACGTGCAATGATATCACAATACCAACATTAACAACAACAGAAACGAGTATTAATGATGATGAAAATGAAAATTCATCACTGTTGTTAAAACCATCAACATCTCCATTGACTTCTACATTTAATCGTCATGAAGCCTATTGTCATCTATGCCGGAAAGAATTTTGTAATAAATATTTTCTAAAAACACATTTTGCAAAAAAACACGGTGTACTGGATATGACATCAACCGTTTTAGTCGGTCCAGGAGTCATGAGTCATTTTAAATATTCGACAAACAAATCGATCACTAATAGAAATCATCCGACTCCAACATCACCGTCCTCTTCTTCATCCCCATCTCCCACAACAAATGGAACTGGAACACTCACTATTCCATTAGATTCCACTAATGACAAAATACATGTTAATAAATCCGAAGACAATACTAATAATGCAATGAAGATTTCAAAAGAAACAAAAACTACTCCATTATCAACACCAACAAAACAGGATTATTCAGCTGACACATTAATAGAAGATTATTGCGAATTATGTCAAAAACGATTTTGTAATAAATACTATTTACGAGTAAGTGTTAAACATAGATTTATTTTTCTAAATAACTATATTAAAACATATTTAAATATTAAACCGATTCTAGTGTTCACCACATTATCTAGTGATGAACTAGGTTTGAACATGATTTTATTCTTTTCATTTCTCTTCATTCCATTTGACCGTTGTTTAAAAAGTCTTCTGTTTATTACACAACACAAAAGCAGAGAGTATTTCAAAGTAGCTAATTTATAGTCTAGTTTTAACAGAAGAATGCCATTTGTATGTATCAATATGTGCTTGATCGCACTACCGATACATTTTATTTGAACAAAAGAAAAAAGTGAAGATACTGTGAAATGTAAACATTTCATTCCATATGTCAGAATTCTATTGAAATTAAAGATAAAACACGTCTATCTGCTATACATTGATCGTTTAATAATCATTAACGTTCATTTCCTGTACATCTATGTATAGAAAAGGTTCATTTTAAGAGAAAGTATAATTATGTTGGTGTGTAACTTTTATTCTTCAAAGTAAAAGAAAAAAATATGTTACAAATTAATTATAATTTGCCAACATACAGATGATGATTAAACTTTGAAAGAATGTATATCAGACCTTCTACATTATTTTTGACGGAGATATAAGGTCCAAGTGATGTTTATCTATAAAACAGCAAATTTATTTCGGTAGATTTGGAGAGACGGAAAAAAGAGTGTTTTGATGATTTACAATCAGTAATAAAAAAAACTGCAGATAAAAGGGAGAACTCACACAGGTTTCCAAGTCAAAATAGATTTTTATAAAAAAAATCGATTAAATTCAAGGTTGAGGGCAAAAGTTCGGAAAGAATTTTTCAAATAAGAAGTACCGACCGCGTTCTAGCGTCACATATTCGTGTTTCAGATGGAACCACTATATAGTGGTTCTATTCCACTATTTCATAGTGTTGACCTAGTCAAAGTTTTCCATTAACTTTTTGTCAGTACCATTGTCAATTTAACATCTAGGACACACGAAATAAATTTGATTTAATTTCATTTTAGTCACGTTCAGTACAGAAAATTGTTTTAGATATATTTAAGGTGAACAATTATCAAAACTAAAGTAAAATTATTACTTTTTTTTTTGTATTTTTATGTAGAATACCGATCATCGGTAATGTTTATTATTCATTTTCCCCCTTTCTTTGTTTAAAATCTATCTATATCAATATCATTTTCTTTTAAATATTCAAAACATTTGTGCGATCCTACATATAAAACATGTATGTGCCTATTTAGTTACGGATTACCGTTAGAAAATATACTGAAGTAAAGTTCCTGTTTGTATTCTCTTTCTCTCTCTCTCGTATGTTAGAAAAAAAAGAAGAAAAATGAAGATGGATCATGTCGATGTTTAATTTCATTTGAGAAAGATAAAAAACAAAAATTCTTCTTTTCTAATATCAATATTGAAATTTCTTGATCAGAGTTAAACAAACTTTGGGCTTGCTAATAGTTCGACTCGTGTACGTATATGTATGCATCCCATCTTCAAAGAGTCACAAAAAAAAGCTTATCTGACTTTTAATAAGCTTATTTATCCAGAAGCAACCAAGATATATACGACGATTTAAACATACGTACATTCTTCTGATTATAACAAGAAGAAGAAAAAAAAAAAAATCTCAATGTAAAACCTAAAGTAAAATAAACAATTCGTTAGGAATGATTGAATAAAAAAATGAATTATTTTCAAATGGATTAAACTTCGAACATACCGAAATTCTTTCATTTATATTTGTTTGTTATCACGATGTGAGATATAGAAACAGAAGAAGATACGATGACTAATACAAAAATCTGTTTCCTCTTATTAAGTCTAATCAACGTTGAAGAAAACTTAGATACTCTCTCTCTCTGTATATTATGGGAAACTGCTCATAAACTTTCCTTTATATATTAAGAATCATATCTGGACTAATCGTATAGCTTTTACTTAGAATGGTTAGCAGATGTAATGTAATCAAATAGTAGATGTGCCATTCGCAATATTATAAGAGGCTATTAGTCACTTACTTAGGGATGGAAAAAAGAGTTTTTGTATTACTAATTCGTATGAAATAAGTTTTCCACAGTTAGTACAGTCTTTAGAAAAACAGCAATATCATTCGATTATTTAACTACGTAAAAGGTTTTTAATTTATATGACTATTATTATTTACTGAAAAGTTTGTTATAATAATTAAAATTGAAAATATCTTGTTTGTCCCGTTATCTTAAGAGTTTAACACGTGTACAAAAAAGATGTAATTTTTCGTCAAGTTCATGTTAGATTAAGATTTGATTATTATTAAATATAGCGAATAAGTTTGCTTACCTATGTACTTTTCAACATTTCAGAAACATCGCGCTGAAGTGCACGGTGTTTATACTGATTATATTAAATCATTGCAAAAAAGTGGTGAAAGCCCACTGAAATCTAGTCGTTCGTCTGTATCAGTATCAACTACTAGTCAAAATAATAACACATTATCAATTCAGACGACGACAACAACAACAGCAACAACAACAACACCATCAACATCCAGTCAAGGTAAGCAGAGAAAGTTCATATTATCATGATGAACTAATAAATATTTTACTACATTTTAGGTGTTACACCGTCGAACATGATCTTGATGAATCCCTATTTACTTCATCCATCGCAATTTTTTCTTTCACCAAATATGTTTTCTGATTTAAAAATACCGCAACCGATATTTGCATCGTCTAATAATACTGCTGCCATGTTTCAAACAACACCATCGTCATCAAATGGACAACAACAATATTCGACAAAAAATGACAATGATAACAGCAAAATTAAAATAGAAAATAATGAATATGATGAATCAGAAAAACATGATGGACAAACACTTTGCAAAGATATGAATGAACTTGATTTAAAAAAATTGAATGAACAACAAAAACCTAAGGAGGAACACGACGTTGATGAGTCAGTTGAACAGAAAATAAAAACCGAAACTATAGATAAATTAAACCATCGTCGCGAGCTATTATCCTGTGAATTATGCGATCAACAATTTAAAAATAAACAATTGTTACGTGCGCACGTCAATACACATCATTTATCACCGTTAAAAAATGGACGTAATAATAATAATAAACAAATACACTCGTCTAATAGTAATAATTTAGATAGATTAGCATTTCTTAGTCCATATGTTGATACAACAAGTGTTTTGGCTCATAAACTTGAACATACAATACCTTACGGTATTATGGCTGATTCATATTTTTGTGCTAAAATGGCCGATCGAGTGGTGTGTGAAATATGTAATAAACAAGTATGCAATAAATATTTTTTAAAAACACATAAAGCAAAAGTACACGGTATTACAAACGATATGACACCGACAATGGTCAATATGAACAGTTTACAACAAAAAACAATATCAACAACAGCTGATGATATTACAACAACATCCAACGATGATAATGAAAGTTCACGCGGTACCAAAGAAGAAGAGACAAATTCAACAGGTATGGTTTAGTTCTAGATTCGTCATAACCTAGTATTTTCCTGCTATATCTAAATGTAAGGAGAAAAAGCGCTCCCTGAAGACGCCAAAAACCAAGCGTATCTATAGAAAGCCTTGTGAGATGTGATATCTCAGTAAAAAGACTGAGATCTATTTAAAAATAAGGATTCATCATCACCTGTATAATTGTTTTTACATTTTCATTGCATAAAAAAGTGAAAAAACTATAGATTGTAAAAACTATAGACACTCGACTGAAATTATAATGGTTAGTGTGTGGAGTTTGATAGAGGAAACTAAGTTATCGAAGAAAAAAGTCGTGTATAAGAATATAAAGATGGTTAAAAAAAGAATGACTGTTCGCCATATCGTGTATATTAGTGTAATAAAAAGTAGACTTCTGAAGACGTAAGGAGTCAAAGGAGTAGTGAACTCATTTTTCCCTTTTAGTGTAAAATGAATTAAAAACTTTGAGAAGTTCAATCTAAATTCTTCTTCCTACATTTTTTATTAGTAAGCGTTTCAAACGATACACTCGCTACACTTACTTATAAACCCATTGTTTCTTTAGGTACAGATAATGAATCATTTTCAATGTCAAGTTTGATGTTAACAGCAGAAGACCGAGATGATCTAATAAAAGCCAGTATAGATCCGGAAGCCTATTGTATTATATGTAAAAAGGAATTTTGTTCAAAATATTTTCTTCGAACTCATCATCAAAATATTCATGGTTTACCAACTACATCATCGTCCTCCACAAATACTCCGACTACAACAACAGCAATATCTTCAATAGCAACTTTACAAACAAATGGTTCAAAACGCAATAAAAAGGATACAAAACATTCTGGTATTTCACCATCAATACCCAACACAAAAACGATATCCGATTCTAAAATATCTGTTCCATCAACACCAATTTCAACCGATACTTACCAAACGTTACTTCAATTTATGCAAGCTGCTGCTGCTTTTACAGAAAATCCTAGCCAAAATCCATGTTTGATAATGAGCGCTTTATCACGAGCAAATCAATTTTCAGATTCTTTATCTATTGACTGTAAAAAACATTTATTAATATCAAAAAACGGGCAAATTAACGGAAATCAATCAAACGATGAAGAGGAAGATGAAGCTGATGGAAATCATACATGTAAAAGAAAAAATTCTGATTCACACCAAGAGCACCATCAAAAAACGATTAAACGAAAAACAGCTAATGATCATGAGGAAGAAATTTTTGATGACACAAAAAAGCGTAAAACAAACTTAAATGATGAAGAAGAGCTTAAATTGTCAAAATTGAACATAGACACATCTCAAATGAATCTTATGAATGAAACATCACCGATAAATGGTGGTAGTGATGGAGGAGGTTTACAGCCATTTTTACTTGAAAGTGACGATCCAAAGTTCATTCATACATTTGTTCCATGTATGGTCTTTCTTCCGGTTAAGAGTCGTGTCACAAAACAAGTACATTTAAATTTACGTTTGAAGCCGGTGCTCACAAATGACGAATCTAACTGATTAAAAGGTGCTATAATGTTACATTTCTCCAAACACAATCCATGACTAGAAGTAGTAGAAATACTGCTCTTGTTTTCTTGTTATGCCATGAATCTCTTGTCTTTTTATAAAATTTTGTTTTTATTCGCTGTTAAACAATGTTTGCTCGTATTTCGCTTTGTCTTGTTTTTCCCATTGTTTTTTTTTATTGTTATAAGCTAATTTTTTGTCTTCATATCTAAGAGAAAATGTATTGATGTTTCTTTTACAAAGAATTTTTTCAGTTTGTGTTTTTTGATTTTTTTTTTCACTGTTTTTCTCATTTTAAAGACAACAGGAAATAAAAGAAAGAATTCGACTTGTAAAAAATGAGTATTATCAAGTAGATAATAGATAGGTTGGCCGTAGTAATGTCGAAAGTAGGAATGTCGAAGGAGATATATCGAAGCGAAAAAATACCGAAATAAAAAAATGTCGAGAAGCTCTTTACAAAATTCCACAGATCTTTGATTTTTGGTCTAATACTTTTTTTAACATAATTAACATAATAAATATGACAATAGACAACTTTTTTAACGGAAAACAATAAGAAATGAAATTTATAACAATGTTAGAAAAACAACAATAAACTACAGAGGCTTACAGTCTGCGTTTACTAGTGACATCACTTTTTTCGATATTTTTCCAATTCGATATTTATTTTTCAACATTTTTCCGTTTCGACATTATCCCTCTTCTACATTTATCTAATCCTATTCGATATTTAGTTTTCGACGTTTTTCCCTTCGATATTTTTCTTTTCGATATTTCTACGGCACACCAATAGATATACACTATAATAGTACGCGTTTGTCTCGAAGTTGTTATTTTCACCTTGAAGAGATTCTCTCATTCACAGAAAAAGTCGAGTTTTGTAATTTTATAATCAATTAAAGAGTCTATTTTTCAGTTCTGGATGAGTATTTCTAACGAAACATATCCTTAGACGATTTTAAGTCAGCTTTTGAAATCCTTTTTTGACAAAAATAGCTATAGGAGTTTATAGCAATTTTTATCTGCTGCGGATAATTTCGGGATAGTACTGGTTTTCTCTGATATACGGTGAACATATGCAAAAGTATATGTACATTCTAAAAACAATTGCAGATTGAAAGACGAAAATTCATGTTGTAACTATACCGAACACTTTTTCGTTTTTCAAAACGCATAAAATACCCCTTTTCAATAGTAAAAAACCCCCCAAAAAGCTTATTGGTTTATTTATATACTGTAATGCATTTTTTAGAGGGAGTTTTAGTACTGAAAAGGGGTTTTGAAAACGTTAAAGTGTTCGGTATAGTTACAAAACGAAAAACCCTTTTTCGTTTTTTAATCTACGATTTTTGTTTAGAGTGTAGACATGTGTAGACATCATATACAGTTTAATAATATCTTAAAAGTAGAATGATATATGATTTTATAGTATCTCATTTTGAAGGGTGAGAAACGTTCATTACAAACTACAGAAAGCTTTTAAAAAAATTATAGAGAAGATCTTATTGTATAAACACTGAAACACAAAAATTTAAATTTATGTGTGAACAATTTCGACAAAATCTTCGAGCACAAATTTATGATCTCGTTTGTGTAGCAATTGTAATTTTGTGAAGTATAAAAGGTAAAATAAACTTCAAAAATAGGTAAAATCACCGAAGTGTCAGAGTAATGATTCTGAAACTCAGTATAAACTTATTCGGTGGATCTAAAAGTTTTTCCATATATGCAAGTCGAGTTTGCTTTACAAACGAGTGAGCCTGTTAACCTGAAATTATGGAGTAGATAGTATCTGGAAACCAGCTTTCGAGAGACAGATAGTAAAGCTCAATTGAATATCAGATTCGTCATCAGCATCAACAAAATACCCCAGAAAGACTATTTTAATCACTTTTCTTTCAGATAGTTTCCTTGTTAGTTCAGTAAAGCCAAAAAAAGCTTTTTTAGAAATAGTGGAAGGCTCTAGATCAATTTCCAAATTACGAAAGAAGCTCGAACATGAAGGATGTGAGATTTCTCTTTTAAAAAAAGGAACTTTTTATTTCAGAAAAATAGATGTTTAAACGAAGACAAGAAAAAGTGACAAAACTAATATTTTTTATAATCAAGTTATTTACAGGTCAACTTGATTGCTATCCAGTAGCAGGTTATTTTTTTTGCAATTTCAAGTTTCTATGACGTTGAAATCGACTGCTGCAATTGTTCTAGCCGCAGTAAAATTGACAGATGAACTTTCTACCGTTGAATTATTCCACCAACACATTGATGGTAGTAGTGGTATCGATTCCGAAAACGCTTTGTAACGGTCTTGTGGCCATTATAAAGAGCATTGAGTTAAAAATCTTTTTCCAGTAGTATACATTGGAATATATACGTCTTCAAAAATTTGCATCATTCAAACGATTGAGAAATAAAATAAAAAATTTTCTGTTAAAAGCTACTGATTCTATTCGAGAAAAAATTGCCTTGATTGTTATTTTAATTCGAAACATACCAAACAGTGTGATTTTTTTCATAATAATAAATGATGAAGACAAGATTGTTAAAAATCGCGCCCAAATTTATTATTGTCAATTTGGGGTCAAAAAATTGTATAAATATAGGTATTGTACAACTGGGTATTTGTTCACAAAAAAAGTTAATTAGATCTGGATTAGGATATTTCATTTTTTCGATATATCATGTTTTTGAAGTTTAACTTTCTTTTGTTTGATGTTTTTATTGTTTAAAGCGTTCGCTTTTCCAATTAGATTGAGCAAATCATTGTTCATAACATACGGTCTCTCTACAGTACCATCATTAATATCTAAATCTTCTAAGAAGCAAATGAATATCGTTTTAACAGCCATGTCGAATGTACTGAAACATATCGATATTATTAAATAATTTAACGCAATTAGAACTACCATTGGTGCCCAGGGTATTATGAGTTGATTTAATTGATTAGTATAAATTAAATATCGATAAAATAAAAATGCATTTAACGAACAAATGGTAATTGTACCACAAATTAATATTAACTCTGTTAATTGAGTAATAACAAAAAATCGAAGACAATTTGATAACATATAACCAAATACTTTTCGCGTTGCTTTACAAAATCCATAGCCACGTGCTGCAATTAAAACATAGGCATTTTTATTTAAAAATTTAATAAATTTTTCAAAACACCAAAATATACACGATAAACATTTGAATATGAATCGAAATATAATATTATCATCGACTTTTGATAATTTTTCATTTAAATAATTTAATAGTAATCTAATAAACCTTAACGATGCTATTAATAATGATCCAAAGGCAATACTTCCTATATGATAACGAATAACGATGAATATTGAGTTTAGTAATGGTAATGGTGACATCTTTCTTGTTTTGTCATTTGACCAATAGTAATCTGAAAATACGCCAGCTAAAACAATTTCTTCAAATGCATAAAGAAATGCACCAATCCAAAAGTAAGCGAATATATTAAACCATTGTAAATATTTCTGATATTTAAAAAGAGTAAAGACCATCAATTTATATATGAATGAATTATATTGATATTCAAAATAATTCTCATCGAAACCAAAATCTTGAAATTCACATCGTCCTTCTGAATAATTATATTTTTTAAATTGTTCCGGTATACAATAGTTACCATTTGTATAATTATCACAACAGCCTGGTATCGCATCGACAACACGAAATATTGGAGTACCAATTGTTGATAAATTCATGCTGATGAAAACAACAGTTAATGTTAATAATACCATGGCGATGATAATAACGGGTGACAATAAAAATGCTGATAAAGCACAAAAAACGGCTTGACTAGCCTGTTCAAGCATTGATATACCCAGACGTAAACGATTGAATAGAAAACATATCATTAGCAATCCTAGACTGAATAAAAATGTTGTTATCGAACCAATACCAATGTAGATTGTTCTCAAACGTATGTAATCATTAATTATATGTGTAACAGTATAAGTCGCATACAGAATATCATTTCCACTGTAGACGGTATACCAACAGTAAGTACTAATTACGAATAATATTATCATGAACGCCATGATACTGATGACTGTTATTAAACCAGCTATACATCGTAATGCAAGGATATACATCAACATCAAACATACACCAACAAATAAAAATAAACAAACAGTTGACCAAGTTTTTTGAATATCTTTGATAATTATACCAAATATTTGTGTAAATTGACTTATTTGAAATACATGAGTATTCATTTCGTTTGTTGAACTTTGGCTCAAGTTTGTGTGAATATCCGTGGATGCTACACCATTTTCTAACAATGAAAGAGCAGAACTAATATTGAGCTGATCACTCGTCATATCTGGCAAAAGATTGACTAAAATTGATGGTAGACAGCGATTAAGTAACGGTTCACTTTCTAGTGTAAATGGAGCACAGAGATTTAGTTGAACAATTTGCACAATTGTCCTATCGTCACGCAATGGATCGTAATCGTAGACACAGACTAATTTTGAACGAGTCGTTGCTTTGGAAATACCAATATCTTCTTCTGTTTGTAATAACTCGTAATGATTATATTGTGTCGGACACGTTTTAACACAAACTTTTCGCGTTGGACAACGAACTAATGATGATGGTCCTGTTACTGCCAAACATTTGCTTATATCAAAATAAAATTGATTTGGACGATCTTGATAGCTGCCCTGTCCACAAATGTTCCCTTCAGAATCTGTTGGCTGCGTCAATATGGATGTATGACCTAATGTTACCGCCAAAAAACACATACTACCATAGATTAATAAAAATACTACAAATAATAGTAGACACAATGTATCGGTGCAATGACGTTGAGTGTTCCCTAATCTATGAGCACGCGATGATGATGCCATAATTTGTTGTACAGATATCACGCTTGTATGTAACTAACATGAAAAAGCAGAATAGTAACAATAATATAATATAGTTTCATAACAATAACGGCAATACCTTCATGTTATCCTTTGCCATATGGTGCCATCGATTGTGTGCTACACGAATAAACAGAAAAATCATGTTTATTATTATGCGTCATACTAAACGCTGCGAAAAATGCTGAATATCTTGACATGTTAGCGAACGAATCATTAAAAACATGACAAGCGATAAATATTACTTGATAAATGGGAGAGGTATTTTTTGTATACATTCGTGAGTATTCTTTTAAATTTTGAGGATTTTCTCCTACACTTGAGTGTATTTCTTTTGAGTTTTCTTCACTCGACTAGCCATATATCATGTACAAAACTATCACAATTTAGACAACATACATCGAAGCATACAAAACGTTCTTACGGATTCCTCAAAAGTTTTGATACCACCTGACAAAAATATTAGCACTGAAAATTGGTTACCAGCCACGAACTTTGCGCATCTATTAGAATCTACTCTAATATTTTAGGTTTATAAGCTGAAAAACTTTGGCTCCGTTTTAAAACCTATCTAGATATAGAGTACTTTGGTGTAATCAGAGACACTGTTTAAAATTTTCGTCGTTTTTTTGCTATTTCTTGGCGGTTTTTTGTCGGAAAAATTTGCTGTTGAACACTGTGGTGAGCCGAACATTTTTCTACACGTTCATGTAAAAATCTTTTGAAAATCTTCGACCAATTTTGAGCCAAATCCAAAATGCAAAAAGTT